AACTTGAATAAGTTATGGGTTTCAGATGGAGTTGAAAGTGAGCGTGGACGGCGTCGAACGAAGTATTTCTGGTGTTTCTAATGAAACCACTTGTGCACAGATTATCTACGCCTTAGCTCATGCAATTAGCCAAAAGGGACGTTTTGTAATGATTGAGAAATATCGGAATAAGGTTGGTGTTTTATTAAGAATGTTAAAGAGCGCTGTTGCTATGATGCACGAGTTTTCAGGAGCGTCGCCTTTCACCGATTGACAAGCCTCTTGAACTGCTTGAGAAATGGCGTGAGCATATGTCTAACGTAACGTTTGTTTTGAAGAAGATTGACGATGAGGATGACAACAGCTTGCCATCGAATGGGACACCACGTACGTTTAAACATTAGTTTCTGGCATTCTTTCTTTTTCCGTGTTCGGTTTTTTGATGGTTTTGCGCTTCTGGCCTTGGAGGGAGTTCAGAGCGGACGAGTTTGTTGTTGTTGCCATTAGTTAGATTTTAGAATGAGCCATCCGCAATTCGCGGAGTGTCACCTGCCTCACAAGTACTAATTCAAGTGGTGTATAGGAGTGCGGAATTCCGCTCCTCAGAGCAAATATCTGCGGGGACGCTAGCCTACCCTACCCCGCGATTCGCCAAATTCGCAAACTTAGATGCCCTCCCAAAAGTATAGTTCGGAACTTCGTCCATTCACCTACCTGTTTCTCGTCCGCCCCCCCCCCCTTTCTTCAAGCCTCGAGCAAGCAGTCGTCTTTCTTGAATAGCGCCAACATTGAGGTTTTGATAGTGGGTCTCCTTATTGGTCTGAGGTCGTATTCTGTTGGTTACAAGCCATCAAAATAGTTGAAAAAGAAATGATTATTGCTCCATTTGGTTCGTCGTGGAAACAGTTGCGGTTCTAGGTTGTTTAATACATTGAAGTCAGCCTTCCATCTTTTTCGAGCATGCGCTCCTTATTCCCATTTTTTTTGTATTACTGCAGGGTAGTAATATAACTGTAAGTTCTATGGTCGCCAGAATTGTCAAGTATGCTTTGATCTAAAAAGGATTTTCTCTAATAAACTTCGCGTCATTCTTAGTTTAATCTTTTTAGCTTTCCTTGTATTCTCACACATTTCCATGTCTGACATATAAAAGATCAAAGTAATGGTAAATGCAGAAATTATGGATGGCATGATATGTGATTTCAATGTAGCAATCAAGAATAATTTTTACCACATTCGCAGCGGAAGTCGGTAGTTTTGGCTTCTTCGTGATGCGTTTTCTTTAGCAAATCTAGTACGTTATCAATCTAGTCAACTTCCACGCTTTCGTCAATGCAGAAATTACGGCTTTGACATTCATGTTTCTGTGTATTTATTACTCAAAACACACTGATAGAAACAGAGGCCGCGCGCTCACAAAATCGCCGCTGTCCCACATGCCAAAAATGCCAAAATACGCGATCTTGTCAAAACGATAATAAATAGTCCCCCAGGATTACATTTCCTTCACTCATTGATTCGAGGGCTGTTTGGTAAAGACATAACCTGATTACTCAATCTCGACTAATTCATTGCCTTATTTCCAGAAAAGGGTACGGATTTCTCATCCTCCGCTTCTACGATCTCCGCGTTCCAGAGCGTTTCTAGCAGCAGCATGCCTACAGCTATGCCATCAGGTAATAGTTTTATGGAGCTGTGAATCAGCAAATAGTTAACTTGCATTTCGTAAGCATGTTACTGGCTACTACTACTGAATTAAGGCAAGCCGATTGTAATTCCTCAAAACATGAGCACTACCTCACTGCCAACCATCCCGTTGAGATCAACTGAACGTTTCCGGCCACCTCCACCAGGTAGGTTCTTTCTTCCGCTTTCCTGGTTTCTGACGTGAAGTTTGCCACATACTGCCAAGTGATGGTAGTTCTGAGGGGCTATCGTTTGATGGTCAAGTTCAGATTACAATTCGGTTATGGAGCAGAAATTTGCATCACTTGGTCGCGGAATACACCCTCATCCACCGATTTCGATGCTGCAGGATGACGATATGTCGATTGCAAGGATGGGTCTGAGCCAAAATGATTTACTCGTTCTAATAGAGAAACAGCGGTTGGTTTGTGGGGCAGTTGGGGGTGAATTTATTGTTATAGGGATTGAGTCCGATTTTTCGTATATTGATTGCATGAATACATTCAATTCAGACAGCTAATCGAAAGACAAAGAGAGAATCTTCTGAATGCTGAGTTGACGTTACCATCCGATGCAGATCGTGAATTTCTCCAACTTCAACGCCAACAGGTTTGTCACCTTTGTTTGATGTATCACATTTAGCGCGATCTCAAAGGTCCAGTGGCAAATCGTGAGGGTGATCTTTGTTTTCATTATAATTATCACATGTATAAAGCTGGTGAATCTCAGCGAGGGTCTTACCGCTGTCGTCTTACCACTGGCTATCCATTTCTCAAAACTGTCTTCCGAATGATTCTTTGAGCGGAACTATGACTCAGTCTGGTATCAGAGTCCGCTATCCATCACAGGTTTTGCTGATTTTCGCGATTTGCGCGATTCACGCGACGAAGCCGTCACGGAAACCACAAGTGCCCGATCAACACTGCAAGGCGCTCTCCATTCCTGCCGCAACTTTTGCTTGATAGTGATGGCTGGTGAGTGACGACTGTTCTTTGTTAACACACACACTTGCATTTTTGCGATCCATCGCAGGTGTCGCGCAAATCGCGAAAACTCAGGCGAACCTGCCGACGGACCGCGGACTATGAAGTCAACCAGACAGTGTATTGTGCTAGGAGCTGTCCGTCGTTCGACGGGTACAATTCGTTCAGTGAGTCAGGCCATTCAGACCGTTTACCGTCTTTTGCACTCCCCCTCCGAGCTGTCCTTTCCATAGTTCACTCTTAACCCGATAACTTACACCCGTGCATAACCTTAGCCTCTCGGCCACCATCTCATTCCCCCTATAATTTGATTCCTAACGCTCTCCTGAACCATCTGTCCAACTACCCCCGAACTCATCTCACCACACGATCTACACTTCACGTCGTCCCCCTCTGCTAATCCTCCCCGACTACGCCAATTCGCGTCCTAAACTCGACCCTTTCCAATTAGTTAGCTAGTGCAGTTGACAGTAACTTTGTCTCGTTTCCGAAAGCAAGTCTGAGCTTTCTGTTCTGCTCTTTTCGACAGTATGCCTAAAAAACTTTCAAATCATACACAGTTTTTTTCCGCAATGAACATGTATGAAGAGTGGAGAAATTCTCATCCATTTTGTTCCCATGATTGCCCACGGTGCCTGCAGTACAACAGCATGCGTTTTTACGCCAAACCAAGGTATGAATTTCATGCTCAAGGGATCAAAGTACTCCTGGAGCAAATTTCTGCTCTAACCAATTAGTGCGACACCAATCTGCATTGAAAACTGATTTCACCAAGACAAAGAATGGCCTTACGGTTGTTGATTGAACAGATGCCATGTAATGTACTGTATCTGCAACCCAGTACACAGTAGCGTTAGGATTGATGTTATTTCTACCGTATTTTTTAGGAAAACCTCCGCAACATCCTAGCTCCCATGAGAGAGTCGAACTGGCCTCAACAATACCAAAAGCAGCTGAAGCAGTCACACAAGCTGCGAGCTGCTATTGAAGCGACGAAAGAGGCCATTGATAAAACGGCGAGGTATATAACATTCTTGTTATCCATTTGCGATTGCTCTTTCTCCACAAAACAAAGCTTCAAGTCAGTCGTGGATATCTCGTATTTTGATGGTAGGCCGTTTTCATATTTGTTCGTCGTCTTCATTTGACATTCGGGCAATGAATTATAACTTAGTACACGAGACAAAAAGTGCATTGTTTGCGGTAGGACGGAACCTTTTTTCTCAGGGACACCCTCAGAATAAACCTCCTTTGTACGTGTAGTGCTTGTGGTAGCGTCTTGGCATGCCTCACCTTTTGCGACGATCGGGTGCTCATTGGATTTGTTGTTTTGAGGGTTCTAATACCATCTCAGCCAGCTTTGTCTGTTTATCTTCAAGTTTGGCCATTTCTCTTGCAGGCAGTGTCTGGTTTTATTCTTGAAGCAACCTATCTTGCACATGGCGTTATTGAATAATGTGATTGTATTGATTGTTTGATTGTGTGTAATTGTGGTTATAGCTTTTACGTCTGCCTGCGAGCAGCATTTCATATGAAAAAAATAAATAGCGCACATTTTAATTGTGCCGAAATTCCAGCGATATCGAAAACATTCGACTACGAGAACAGGAGCTGCAAAAGAGGCTGACTGAGTTGAATGAATCCACAACAGCACCGCAACGGACAGCTGCTTCGCTTCCAATTGGATCGTCGTCGTCATCGCCAAAGCTGAAGGCCTGCTGAAATTTTCAATCTCAAGGCCACTCAATTCCTAGAAATCAGGTATATGTATATCATTGTAGATTGTTTATATCACTTTGTGCACTTTCCTCATCCTTATGCAGTATTTGATTTGTAAACGTATAATATGGGATTGCTTTTTTCACGATGACCCGTTATGTCTGGTACTAATCCCAAGACGTTCAAACTGTGATACTAAGAGGAGCACGTTTGATGCGATCACCGTAATGCAATATTTGCGTAAGCAAAGTAATTCATGTCGACGAGCAGAGGAGTTCATGTGACTTAGGGTGTATTGAGGTGAAAATGCGTGTTTCGCTTCCGGTAGTATTGTGCACCGAAATTTTTAAGCCGTCGTAGGTTGCTTCGTGGGTTTTGCAGAAAGGCGAACGTTTCTGTTGTTGTCAGAGTGAGCACTATCAGCACTTGCGTAAGAATCCCCTCCATATGTAATTGGAAATAAAGCGCAGATCTCTGCCCAAACCTACCTGGAGCAGTTCTATATTACACTTTGCATAGTAATGCTTTATCCTAGATAGCCCTATTTAGTGGAACATTCGAGCCAAATTCTGTGGGAAGTTCGCAATCCATTACGCATTACTTTCAACGCTTGAATACTTCAATGCATTTGTGGCCTTGTGCTTTTTGTAGTAAAAGTGAAATTATTCTCCATGTTGAAGAATCCTCGACGTTAGCTTCTCTGATCCCAATATTTTCTTGGACTTCTAGGGTGTAATATCAAGTTGCAATTCCATGGCTAGACGGTATGCAACGGATTTATCCACGACAGCGTCGTATTCTGCAGTGGAAATAGGAGTTCAAATTGAACTGTTTTAGACCCACAAGTAGCAACATACACGAAATAGAAATTGAAGTTTTGCCGAATATCTTTCGATCTTTCGGGAAGTGGATTACCAGATTATGGTGTGCTCTTCAAAGCGAGAGATTACGATAAAGTGTGTGTGCAGCGTGGAAGTACATGCACCATTGGAAGCAGTAGTCAGGGGCCGAAGGAAACGAAATGTGGCGTTTTTGTGGCCAAAGGTGCGCTAGCTGCAGCGTACTGGGCTTGCCATTCCTTTCTGAGCTCCGCCACGGCCTGTGCTCCGCCCCCAGCAGCAGCGTCCTTCGATTATCATTTTGACGAGGTATTCCGCTTCCAGTGCGTATCCTATAACTTTCCATGGAATGCGTGATCAATCAAAGCATGATGCTTGCTTTGCTGGTGATAGTGGCTATCAGTTTAACATGTGCAAACGACCTCTTAATTGGTTGCTAGCTCGTCCATTATCGGAGGTCAACGGGCAAAGAAAGGGTCCCATTTTGCGCGTTTGACGGATTTCTTTGCTTTTTTCGCCACTGGGGCATTATTCAGCATCTCCACTTCCACTATGAACCCACTCCAATCTTATCGTAATCCCTCGCTTATAAGAAAAATTGCTCTCTGCAACCAGATTTCCGCTCTTGACACTTCCGTTTCTCATCAGTATCTAAAGCTGACTTTATCCGTAATCTCATGACTTTTCTTTGTGAAAGGTGGCGGAGACATATTTTATTTTTCTACTTTTTTATTTCATGTTTACTTGTTTAATGTTTACTAGGAGGGTTGAAGTAATCATTGACGACCACGCAGGTTTTGGGTCTTGCCACGTGGGACGTGGGCGGTTTGGCGGGCGCGGCGGAACTCAAAACTGAAGAGTAGCAGAACGAGAGTACAACAGTGGAGGTGGCTCCAGTCAAGTTATGCGTGCTTAATCTTCGTATAAGTTGTTATTTTTTTTTACTCCGCGACGAGTTTCTTATTGTTTTTTTTTTTTTTTATTTTGATTTTTTTTTTTCTCTCTTGGCGGAACAGTGAGGGAAGACATAGTAAAGTAGAGTAGATGTGTTTTGGAAAGTATGGCCGGCTTCGGGATTGAAGGTCAGGAGGATCAAAGCGATTCGAGTGGCAATGCCTGAGCAGGATTGTGGCGTGTTTACTACTATCGTCTCCAACAGATGACTCCAAATGGGTGATCAATCACTGTGAACGTTGAGAACACTCTTCAAATCAGTAGCTTTCCACGCGGCACGTGTTAGAAGTAGCTAAAGTCTCTAAAGCAGTCAACAGGTTAGGATGTTACGCGACTAAGTATAAAAAACAAGGATCTCCTTGCGGCCTCAAAAAAGGTTATCACGCGGTGCAGTGGATGTAGAGGATTATTTTTTATCAGTAGCTTCAAAAAAGCAAGTTATGTCCCATGATCGTGATTCCTTGACATTGTTGTATTACATTGTTGTTTGCATTTATGAAATCCAAGATAGAAGTCAAAGACTGAGCTAAACTAAAATTTAGTGTGGTTTGAAAAAACCTTCGCTCAACAGAAGCATATTTAACCCCTCATGGACCACGCCGTTTATAGGCATGATGATGTATTGTCTATATAATAGTGACAAAAAATTTCGGAAGAAGTTGGACATGTGCGGAAAAAATGGGTACCAAGATGCTGACGCGCTTGCGCGTCAGATTGTCCAACGCGGCTTCAAATTTATGACGCGCATGCGCGTCATCCTGTCGTCAACGTGTCAAACTAAATAGTTTAATTTTTCATCGAATTACCCTGAGAAGCTATGGTAGTGAAGTAGTGACAACGCAACCAGGAAGAATCTTCTGGCGATACTCGGACGAAAACTTCAGCCTTGAGGCGTACCCTAACCATTTCGTACTATTGAGGGATCCAATCGACTTTGGCAAAGCCTGTATTGGAGCTTAATTTACGGTATGAATTTCACGACATCACTTTTTCAGAATACGCTCCGCCTGGCGCATGAGTCTCATTCTTCTCGTTCACCAAGTCTGTGCTAAATTTCAGGAAGTTTTGCCCGGTTTCCGATAAGAACTTGTTTAGCAATTCTGCCGTCATAATTGTTTGAGGGTGCGTGCCTCCCTCCCTTACCCTCACCGGTATCTGCTTAGTTCATATAAGCTATGCACACCTAGTCATGGAAATTGGCAGGCTCCACAGACAAGCGTTAGAATAGGGTGGCGACGGTTTAACGGTACTGGCGTCACTCTAGTGCCCTACGTGCTTGCTGCATCGACATCACGAATAGTGGACTAAGTTTATCACATATCTTTTAAATGGACATGTTGAAACAACATGTAACATGAACATCTTGACGTGAGCTCAAAACATGCTCAGTACAACATTTCTTTCACAACAAAAGATCAAATAAAATCCCCAACACGTTTTGAAAGTGACATCCTCCAACGAGAACGAATTTGAACGCAAAATATTTGAATCATGTTCGAATTCTTTGGTTGGAAAAACTTTGAACTGCATTGAATTTAAGTAGTGGAAAGCTGTGAGGAGGTATCCCGGCTGTTGTATGACGCGTGAACCGGTCCATGTCTACCTGGTAAAGAACATGGCGCGTTATTGGTAGCATCTAGTGGGAAGCAAACTGGAACATCTGTTAGCGCTGTTTGCAGAAGGGCGGAAGTTGGGTTGTGGATTGCATTAATCGTGCTCCTTTGGAGTTTCAACGTCTTGTCTTTTAAAAATTGTACTGCAAATGTGATCTTCTTTTAGTGCAGCTTTACGCACTTTATCTGTTCCTCCCTCGAATTTTAATACGTGTCTGGCTCACTTATGAAATCATTCTATGAGTTTTCTCGTGCTATGACACGTTAATACAATCCATTTTTTCCGATGTGAATGCTTTACTTTTGAGTGTATTTTTTGCCGCAAAACCGATTTTCCTTCTAAAGGTAGTTGTTTGGCAACTGTTCTACTGCAAATCACAAATACTTGTAAGCAATAAATTTTTTCTCATGTTTTTTTGTTCAGTACGTTATCGCAGAAGATTTCTTTTTCATGCTCCACGTACTGTCCTTCGTTCAATTTTTCGTAAGCTCCAGAATTTTGAGTATCTGTTTTGTTTGAATACGTTCGAAATCTAGTGGGAACTCACCTGGTTTGCGACTATCAAGCAACCATTGCTATGTTCGAATTCCATGGTGAACATTGCCGACAAGACGTGGTGTGCACTGTACTTATTACGTGGACCACACCGAATGTGGATGAAGTCCCGAATAGTCGCGCTCACGCGTCTCCACGATTTGCTGGTGTGATTCTCTGCGTTCTATTTGGCGTGGAATTACCAATTCGCCTGCCACCTCTGCAGTGCTCTGGAATGCCACAGGGACGGGTGGGGACTTGTTCTGATGCTCGCTCTAGGGGCTCGATGACAAGATGACAGGTGATAAGGAAATTTTTAGAACCGCATCTTCGAAAAATGTGGTGAGACCGCTTGTTAAGGCGTTTGACCAATGACATTCATTGACGTAATCAAAACCACTGCGCCCTTCAACCATAGTTATCGGTGCCTTTAACCCATTGGCGACCGCGCGGAATTTTCGAAGTCTGCCCGTTCGGACCAGCGCCGGCAGAGGGGAACATTAATAGCAGCCACCAGTGGCTGCCATTAATATGGGGACATCCATATTTTTTGATTTTTTCTATATATCTTTTGCTTCTGCTGTTTTCGCTGAAACTTCTTTCATGGGGGTTATCGAGGGTCCTGATCACTCGCATAAGATCATTTTGGCGCTGGCGCCAAATTGGCGCCATTTGGCGCCAGATGGCGCCCTGACTGAATCTCACCAAATTCGCTGTAAACTTGTATATAGGGGTTATTTGAGGCCTGATCACGAATATGACACCATTTTTCCGATAGCTCCAATTTACGCCACTTCGGCGCCATTTGGCACCTCTTTGCGCGACAACTTTTTCTCGCCAAGATTACGGTGAAAAACTGAAAACATTAGTTAGATGGACCTAATAATGAATATGATATCTATTATTGGCGCTGGCGCTATTTGGAGCTCCAATCCAAATACAAAAAAGTTTTTCCACGAAGATTGAACCTTGTACCATTTCCTCCTCGGGGCCGCTCAGCAAAAGTATGGTACCTCGGTTTTGTAGTCTACACATGAGCTCCCATAACATACAGAAAACCGTTTTGAAAAAGCTTTCAACATCCTGAACGACCCCCTTGTTAGTCCTGATTGGATCCAATAGTGAGAGGTGCAGGCGAGCAGGAAACAGGTGTTAAATAGCGCCAACGATAAAACGAATGTCATATTCGTAATCAGGGCCTCAAATAACCCCTATATACAAGTTTACAGCGAATTTGATGAGATTCAGAGGGCGCCAGGCTCCCCCACTTTCTTCACGATTTGGAGCGCGGACGAGTTGGTAATGCCCGCGTGGGTGTCCCCCAACAGGCCCATCGCGCGGCGAAGAAGAGACGCAGACGCGGCAAAGGACGAGTCGCAGCGCATACTGTAGCGGTTAGGCGTCAGGTTAAAGAGAGTGTACCATACTACGTCTCATATCGCACACCCGTGCCCGCGTACTTTGCGGGTAGGTTTGAAAACACTCCGTCAGCAGAGTTCGCGGGCACTATCAACTCTTCCGCTCCCCAGATCGTGAAGAAAGTGGGAGATCCGGCGCTATCTGGCACCAATTTGGCGCCAGCGCCAAAAATGGATCCTATATTCGTGATCGGGACCCTCGATGTCCTTTATGGGGGAAGTTCCTACCAAAAAAAGATTCAACTTTCCCCGTTAAATTTTGAAGTCAGGAGGTTTTTTCTTCAATTATTTTAGTAGATGAGGGTATGGAAGAGCCGGACAGTCATGTTCATCTTGATCATGTTGTGAAGAGTTAGGTTTTTCCCTGGATTAGCCCAAGGGAAAGCATTGTACTATATAAGACATAACTCCTTCTCAAATAATGATGTGATGGATGATGTTGTCGTTTGCCCATATAGCAATCAAATAGGAATGATGAAACTTCATGAAACCTCAAGAGATCTAACGCTTTCAGCCAAAAGCGGAATCCTTTTCTTGCCCTATTGCCAATAGTCAGTGTGTACTACTGGTTTTTACTGCTTATAGGCCGTTACTCTTCGCCACAGTGTCTAACTGTGCTAACGTCAACCACGCTTGGCGCACCCGTAGACAGCCTTCGTAAGCGCCCACGAGCCAGCTCCTGGGGTTCGTGTTTAGATCAAAGAGGTGCCTATAGCACCCGCCCCTGTTGTGCTGCGGCCTCGGCAGTTGGTTATTTTCAGGGCTCGGTGGCTCGTGGTTCTGATGTACACGTTCGAGAGCTTACTTGGTTGAAAAAACCATGTATAACGCACTGTTCTCCGATCAGCTCGCTTACACGCTCTGTTGAGGTCTTATGAAGTTTTCATCTCAGCGATTTTTTTCTTTTCCCTAGACTATTTGAAGTGAAGTCAATCGGTTGTGAAATAAGTGACTACAGCTGTGCCATTACCTATATGTGATTGACCAGTAAATAAATAAATAAATAAATAAATAAATAAATAAATATGAGGATTCTTTACAGGAATACTTGAAAGGAAATTACTCGATCACTTCAAAAGAAATTTCCCAAAGACCACTTACTGTTTTCAAAAATTCCATTTGAAGTCCGGCAGCCACCGGTGGATGCCATGGTCCCAAGTGAGCATCTTCGCAGTAGCCACCAGTGGCTGCCATTGTCCCGAATGTCCCTCATTCACAAGCAGGTTATTATAGGCGCTTCTACGGAAGAATAATATCAAATTCTTGAACAGTCAAGTTGTGAGCAGCAGTTCCTATTCATTTCTTTGCAGGTTCGCTTGTGCATTATCTACTACCTTTTTCATCAGGCAATTATGTATACACACGTCGCTTAATTAGAGCATAGAATATATTATTCAAAAGCTTTACAACCCGAAATAATGAGGTAGGAGTTATGTTAGTCCACTGGATTCCGTAGATTTTATGGCGGCGATATTGGCTGATACAGCATCGGATTGATCGTCACATATTTAGTGTTGAGCATTGGTCGATAAGGAAACAGTAAACGTGACTGGTAACCGAAGTGCTCGTAGAGATCACGATTCAGCAAGGACATCCTGAAACAAGGTCGGTTTTCTCAAGTTCCTAGATGACAATCAGTAAGTTCTTACACAGGTATTTACTTCAATCGAAGTAAAATTGAACAGATAGAAATCAGGGTTGAAGGAGCATTCCATGATAAGTTGAAGATTTAAGAAGGGAAAACTAATCAAGGGGCAGGGGATCCCCTAAAGGTGCGGGACGATGCGCGGTTCGCAGCGAAAAGTATGCACCAAACGGCCGCCTGCGCTTCTGCACCCGCCGGTACGTGACCTCACCTATCTGTTTTTTGGCCTCTTAATCAGAAAGAGCGTTAGCGGCGAGGAGAGCAGCACCGATGAGAGTCGCATTAATGCAAAATCAACAGGTAAAGAAGGAGCCCCATTGCTCGGGCTGTGGCCTGTTTTTTCATGGTTTTTTCTTCACCCCTGCACCAGTTATCACCTCTACCTTTCTAATGACGTGTCTTTTCATAATGAGCCCCAACTTCAACTTGCATATTTCTTTGAGATCACGCAAGAAGGCTTTCAGCGATCAGAAGCGCCCTGACTTTTATGACTTGCACTTATGCATACCCATATCTAAACCTTTGTTGGTAAATGGCACAAATTGAGTAAACTCAGTTAAGGAAATGCCTATAATTACTAGAGGGGGCTTTAGTGAGTAGCAAACAACTGTTTTATGGTGATGGATCCTTGGACTGTAGATAGGAGAAGGGTGAATGACGGTCGAGGATTCCTTGACTATGGATCGTAGTTACTCTGACAGGAAGGAGTTGATTCGTATATCATTTGCTAGAAGTCTTTCCAACCTGTTTCCAGTAAGCCCGAGTAGGAACTTCAAGTATCCTTTCCGAATTGCTTGTGGTTCGATAACGATTTGCCAAAGGACGTAAGCTGTCGATACAGTGTAGAGGAACAGATCGCCATAAGGCATAGGCCGTAAGTAACCTTTCTTGATCAGATCCCGATAGATCGCCTGAATTGCGCTACATTTAGCAACCACGTATATTATTATTGGGAGTAATGTGAATGTTGCCTTGTTTTTCAACTCTGCATATAACGTCCACTCACTTCGATAGCTTTCCAAAGGACGTACATGGCGATAGAGACGTTCGGAAACGCCAACATAGCTAGGCCTGAAGCCGCACCAGCAAGTATGTTGCTGTATTTGTGGAATACCTGTGGTAGTCGGCAAAGGGTGCATCGAGCAGTCTAAAAATATGGCAGCGAAAATAAAAACAATAAACTGAATTGTTGGATTTCCATTTTGTTGACTTTTAAGTGCAAAACGATGCTGATAAGAGACGAGGTGATTTGACGAAGGGAAAAGGCGAGTTTATCTGCGGCTTTTGAGCAGAATCACCGAATACGGGATGGCAAACATGAATACTGAGGGGCCACCATCCTTATTTTTTTAAAGCTGGCAAACGAAATTTCACGTTCATTACAGTTCCACTAGAGGTTCCGAGTTTCTTTCGAATGGAACAAAATGTGTCTCACTTACCAAAGCCCGCTTTGAACTAAGTGATCAAAAATGGAGCATATCTCGCAATCAAACAGATGTCGGTTATTGGGTCCAAAAACGAAAACATTTGTGTTGTACTGAAACGGCCGCAAACAAATCGCTGGAACCCTTTAAATCGCATTAAACGCTAATGGTAGGAGAGGGTCCCATCCGCCGCTTTCACCATTATTGGATAACTAGCTTTTAACAGTTTTTTCAATCGTATCACTATGGACGGCCAGCAGTGAGAAGGAGCAAGCAGGGTCAACCCTGCGTTGCGCAAATTCCAAAATTTTTACGACCCCCTTCCTTTTCGGAGGGTATCGGTACGACCCCCCCCCGTATTAACTATTATGTCTTTCACATAATTTAATGCTCATTGATGTATGGGCAGTCACCAACATGGAGAAGTGGTGGACCGTGGTCAATCCGCGCGCTCTGTCTCGCTCAGAGGAGGGAATCGAGGCAAATGAAGTTTTATTCATTAAATAGAAGGAATTTCCAAATTTTTGCGTAAACCAATACATCATTTTAATCGTAAAGATTTCTACTTTCAGAAACCTTTTTTTTCGATCTCTCAATTTTCCTTACCTTATAATCTGAAAAACTAAACCTTGTAGCAATTACGTTGCAATCCAAACCCCTCCATTCAGAAGGTTATATTTTTTCAGAAGCGGTCTCATGGAACCGGACACCAAAATTTCAAAAATATAAATAGTTTTCTTCCTAAAAAGTATTTGAAATGTTGTGGATGTTCAATATTTCAAAAAATCGTCCCGTTGTTCCGTTTTTTGTGCACACGCGAGTTTTCGACATTCAAACATTCATAACTTTCTTCATATCAACTTTTTGCAGATGTCTAAGGCTAATTAGAAACTAGAAGATTAGCGCTTTCAAACAAGCACCTGAAAATTTTCCAGCGATCATTCTTCAAAAAATAGTCCCGTTGTTCCGTTTTTGGGGGGTTTGTGGTCCGATTTTTGAGAAGGCGCGAGTTTTCGACATTCAAACGTTCATAACTTTCTTCATATCAACTTTTTGCAGATGTCTAAGGCTAATTAGAAACTAGAAGATTAGAGCTTTCGAATAAGTGCTAAAACTTTTGAAATAATCACTCGCTCAAAAAATAGTCCCGTTGTTCCGTTTTTTCCACCTTGATTTTTTTCAAGCCATTTTCCTGGACCGCGACTATGCAGTCTTCAAAGGCCCATAACTTCCTTCAAAATTAATGTGATGAGAAGCGGTAAAGATTGTTAGAATCCACTCGAAGAGTACTTCATAACAACTGTGAAATTTTCCTGAAATTCTTTCTTCTGCCTCAATTTTCCTAGGGGTCTCTAGAACTCAATTCAGCAAATTCGCTACACTTTGTTCCGCTTAGATTTGATTTGAAAGCATCGAAATTCTCTTCAGGAAGTTTGTCTGCTTACGGCCGCTGACAGAGAAGGCGTTTTTATGGGAAAACGCCTGCTCGGGTATACGCCGTGCACCTGTCTGTGGACAGAAGTCGCACTCGCATTTGAAAGTCCTCTATTTTCCTGAAGGGCGGAAGTGGTGTAGTGACAAGTGGCGCGCTTACCACGCGAGCGGTCCGGGGATCAAATCCTGGGTCGTGAGTCGCCCGGGCCAACCAAGCCTTCCATCCCTCCGGGGTCGGTTAATTGGTACCAGACTTGTCTGGGAGGATAAAAACACGACGTAAGCAAACCAGCCCTTTTGGCGCTTCGGCTGGGACCGTATGCTGAATGTTGGGGAGGGGATGGAGTCCCCGACGGTGGACGGACCACTTCAACTCGGTCCTTAGAACCGCCACAATTTGGTGCTTACCTCAGAACTAAGCCTTAAAGAGAGGACGGGTCCGTCCCCTCTCCAAGGCTTAGTCCTGGGGTGAGCAAACCAGCCCTTCTGGCGGAGCTGCTGGACCAGCTGCACCACTTGCGTCAGTACTCTCCTATCGTACCAACCGAGTTGAAGTAAACCGTCGACCGTTGGGGACCCCATCCCCTCCCCAACATTCAGCATACGGTCCCAGCCGAAACGCCAAAAGGGCTGGTTTGCTTACCTCAAAACACTGACTTGTACATCGGCTGGCCCCCGCAAGTCATTGTATAGGCCACATCGCATTCAAACGCCACTACGAATGTACAAATGGAAGTAGAATGCGTGCCGCATCCCAAAAAGGGATTGATCAACGGCAAATGCTTTATCCTTTATCCTTATCCTTTTTCCTGAAGAAGGTGTTAGTATCGTGATTGAGTTGCATTGTACTGTTATATGGTACTCTTGTTTCACTTCCCCATGAACTGCTCTACACTTTGTTCTCCTTGGGATTTCAGGAATGTTCGATCATCGAAGACAGACCATGTTTTTGCACTGCTGTAACAAAGTTTTTGGCTATTGTAATCTTGATCTATGCTGTCGAGCGAAAGCGCCGTCCGTGTATTAAGGATAATAATGGCTGATAGTGAGACTTATAATGCTCTGCATGCTCTAATGCTCCCATGGAGCTCTTGTCTGTGTGACTCTCCGACAGCTGCACGGTGCAGAGCTCCTGGAGAACATTAGAGCGTGAATGTGCACTGCAGGACACTGCACTTTTCCAAGCAGGGTCAACCGTCACGGTGGGTGCAGCGTTAGCCTTGGAGCGCGGCAGGTATCACCCGGGCGCTGGAAGAACGGGACGCGGCGAAGAAAAAATTTTAGAGGGGAATAACTTTCTTGGGACGTACTTTTTTGACTTGTTGAGGTAGATTTTGACTGTGCCTGAGGTGCGCTTTCAGAAAACTACAAGGATTGCCTAACTCTCCGGAAAGTACTTCTGTTAGAAGTGGAAAACCCAAAATTCTAAGAAGGCGCACCTTCAACTTTGAAGGCCCATAAAATCTTTCGTATGCGACATTTTGGAAATCTGTAAAAAGTTTCAGAAACTTCAAATATTTCTCTTAAAATATTAAAACAGCACTACAGATATTTCTGTTAAACTTATCAAAACAGTATAAAAAGTTTAGTGATTGACCCTTTTTCAAAAAATTGTCCCGTTCGAACATTTTCCGTGCAAAAGCGAGTTTTTGGGCTTTCAGCGACCATAACTCACTTCATTTTCATTTCTGTGATGCACTTTTTTCATGGGGTGAAAGTACAGGATTTGCTCTTTCTAACAAGCACCAAACCGTTTTTCAAAGTTCATTTTTCGAGAAAATCACACGTTCGAACATTTTTCCCCATAGGTTTTTGAGCAGCACATGCGAGTTTTTGAGCTTTCAGCAATAATAACTTCCTTCAAAGAAGCTTGTTGGGGAGGGGCGAAGACATTTTTGAAGACTACGAGATTTCTGCTTTCTTATATGTTTTTGTCTGGAAGAATCGTCCTCAGAAAATTAGGTCCCGAAGAACTTTAATTTCAGCCCCGAGAAGTCAAACCTTTCATAGGGATGCATTCAACTGTTCTTTATTCCTCAAGGAAAACACCGTAATTTGCCTAAAACTGTCTCTCTGTGCATAATAAATCGAATCTAATGCGGTCTGCACAAGCAAGTCTTGCCCTCGGATACGCCACGCACGCGCCTGGTTGTGGCAAAGGTATTTGGAAGTCTATTCATTTGCTATGACCCGGACTTGCTCAATTTTTGGCACTGCTACGTTCTGATGCGACGATGCGAGCTCTCCCTAAAAGCTTCGCTGAAGGCACCTCCAAACATTCAAGCGGTGCCGCAGTCTTGTTCCCCTTCAAACGGTTGTGGAGCAGCGTGTCGCACCAACATCTTGTTGGTTCACAGTGGAAGGTCCATGGAGACATCATCGCTATTCCGAGCAGCTGCTGCATTGAGCTCTTCCATGACGGCAGAGAAGTCGAACAATGCTGTGTCACACAAGGTTAACAACATCGGCGAAAAAGTCGGCCACGTCATCTTATGTGGAGGACTCGTGGAAGCACACGTCCACACAGGGCGCGGATCCGATCCCGGCTTATCGTCCTCGAATGATGCTGCTTGACACGTTATATCGCCTTTCTCACCGTGGCACACCTACACGTGTGCCACGCTGAGAAACAGCGATATAAAAAGCTCTTGATAGGGACCTCCTCATTTTTCCATCATCGCCGGCCAGGATGGATGGTCGACGGCCTGCGAC